TTTCTTGCAGCAGAGATCATGTGTGCTTCAGCATGCAATTTTCCCTCTCTGAAGAGAAATGCGCCGCAGTTTACTTTGCTTGGGTTGTACTGCAGTATTTTATTTTTTTTTAGGCAAACACTAGGATGTGTCTGTTTCACTGTGCAACAGCTCCCACTAATCAGCAAGGAAAAATAAAATATGCTAAGTTACAAAGGCTGCATGCTGTATCACACAGACAAAACCTTGCTCTACTCAGAGAACAAAAGATACCATCCCCCACTGAAAATGATGTTGCTAATGCAGAGGTTTGTGAGCCATTAAATATTCCTACACTGCAGATTTTTCAGATTTCTCCTAATGCATTATAAAGCTAGATAAGCCTTTCTGAATATACACTATAGAATGAGGATCATAAGAATTTTCTACATCCAAAAAAACCCATTGCATTTTTAATAAAGCTTCGTGTTATTTATGATGGCTACGAAGATGAGACATATGTGATTCTTTTAGAAGGTTGGGGCTGTTTCATATGTACACCTGGAATTAAATGAATAATGCCTATCAATAAAAGTAAGGCTAAATCTCTCTGAGGAAGTCCCCAGTGCATCAACACCCTTCAGCTATATTTTCATAAGCTCAGGTAAGTGTGGCAGTTCTTAACCAATGTGGCATCAGCTCTGGATATAGGGCTACATGCCCTGCAGGGTACAGAACTTAAATGAAAAAACTCCTGGTCCAGCCAAAAAAGTGTTACCAAGAAAGCTATCTTTACACGACAAGCCACATTATCATGTTGTAGCTTCATTAGTTCACGAGAACAAAACAATTATAAAATCTATACATTCTCTGGAATGCTATAAGCTATCCCCTGCGCAGGTGACTGCAATTTGCATTTTTTTTACGCTCTCTGTGGCTGAAGACACCCTGTGCAGTACCGTGACCACTGGGCAGGTGTTTGTGCCCTCTACTGCCTGCAGTCAGGCTTCACAGTTTTATATAAAATTATTCTGCTAACAGCTAGAGAGATGCTTTTTTATGGAATCTGATTTATGTTAGTCAGCAACATAAATTTCTGCTCAAAAATAATACAAACACCACCCTGAACATCTTTCAGGCCTCTTTACAAAAAAGTGAATGAGCAATACCATCTCTTCCCCTTGCCTTTTTTCCCTTTTATATTTTTACAAGTAATTTTGGATGTTGGATGCAGGAGAAGTCTTTGAAGTGAAATAGTTTTGTTATGGAGCTGAGCAAGGTCAAGATTTAAAAAAACCAGAACATTTCCCCTTTTATGTCCTAATTTAAGTGTCTGTCTGTTGAGGTGGGGGGGAGTGGAGGTGTTGATGGCACCTTCACAAAATAAAATACACTTGCATTCCTGGATTGATAAGAGAGTCAACTGTGTCTTCCATAAAGACAAGTAACTTCCAGGTGTACTGGAATAATTTCGAAGAAATATAAAAGGATACAAATTTATTCAAAAAGATACACTTAAAATCTGCAAATATATTACTACTTACTCCTTTTGCAAAGGATCAAAAAGTTTAGAATTTGATTCAACAAAAACGGAGGTAACTTCAGTTGGATTATGGTATCAATAAACATAACTGTAATGATAGAATTTTTACAGGATAAAATTATTTCATAAATGACCTCATATGCTCCTGTACACTACCAAGTTTGTAAAAACTATTACATACACATTTCATGCTTATTCCACATGGAACTTTTAACTCCCTATCTCTCGAGCACTGACTTAAAACAATTTTGTTATTTAAACAGCAATTCAAGCATTTACATTATTAATTTCAGTAATTACTGTTATCAGCTAAAACATGAAAAACAATAACTATTCCAGATTAAGAAAAATAGGGTTTTAATTCAAATCAGATACAGTTAGTAAAAACATACACCTTGTTTTTCCTGTTAGCTATACTGGCCCAAGTATAAGCAGCTACTCTTCACACCAGAAATGAGAATGGAAAAAAAATGCATTAATTACTCCAGCCATAGGTCCACCTGCACACACCCTGCCACCTGTATGTAGCAACCTCTTGCCAGAGACCATGCAGGTTAGGCTCTGTAAAGGCACCAGTTGCCTGAAAAGAGCTGTGGGGTGTCTATTAACACCTCTAACAAGGTCTTTTTCCCTTCTCTTGGCAAGCATGGATTTCTTGACAGGGAATGGGATTAAAGTGACTCATCCCCTCTGTTGGGCCGTTTTGGTGAGAATTCCTAGACCAGCCAACCCAGGGTGAGCAGTGTCTCCCGGATCTCAGCAAGAATGTGGAGACACCCTTCATTGGACTGGACTTGGCCACCAGAAGACACTACTGGAGCACCTCCTGGGCAAATCATAAATATCTGACAAAACCCCACATATGGGATTATTTTCTAAATTCTAGAAAAACTTCTCTGGGCAAGAGAACATAATAATTTATTTTCATCTAGATGGTGACAAGTTGATATTGATCTAATTCATAAAGCAACATGTGATCTAGATGTCTAAAACACACTGCCTCATTGCTAAAGGGGATCCCCCTTAATTTCACCAATCATTATTTGTTAATCTGTACAAACTTCATACAATAAAAACACAAAGACTAGAACAAGTACATAAAAAGGTTATCTTTATTCTTTTGGATTGTTAGCAATGTAGTTATTTTTAGTGAAACAACTTCCTGCATGCAGTTCATCAGTACACTATGAGCCAATAGTTCCTATAAAAGCAGGAGCCCATCTATATTCTAGTTATTTTGTAAGAAATGCAAGGTATTCCACTGTCCATTGCAGAGGTTCACTACTCATTCTCATGAAGAAAGACTGAATAAGAAATCATATTTAAAGCATTTCTACTGCAGTATGAATCAACAAGAAAAGCAGACAATGTGAGACTAATACTGGGGAAAAGCAATGTTTCTATGACTAAGATTACCCTGAAAATTGAAAGACAGGATTATAATTTCAAAATAAACTCTTCTATCTTGTTTCACATACAAAGACCTACCTACTGATCAGAAAAAGAACTGTACTGTCAATTTCTTTTAAAATTATTCCTTATTAAAATGATTAATATAATTAGCTGAAACTTGAAATTACCAATTCACATTGTATCTTAGGTTCCCCAGCAGTAAAGTGTCACAGGTAGACAGCAATAACAACATGAAGATACGTGTAGTTTCTTGTAAGTATAAAATGTTATAAAATAAAACTATTTTCAAAATAACAAGAATAGATCAATAGATATATATTATAAAAGGTTTTTTTCTAGACCCACATTTTAAGCAATATATTTGTCCTGTGTAGTCTGGTTATTTTCTGCATATTTGCTGATTACAAAACTCAAACAAAATAAAATCTATAATAGCAGCAAACTATTGCTTACTGGTATAAGGAATGATGGTCTCGAACAGTTTTTTCTTTTTACCACTCACATGTCTTCCCATCTTAGAATTTAAAAGCTGTAGGATAATAGCAGCAAGCATGCATCAGTTAAAGCTTCCCAATTATGTGGAGTATTGCAGAATATATATTATCTATTGAAATGTTATAAGCTACACTTACTAGGGTACATACGTGATGCAATAAATACAGTACTTAGGCCATTGTCTTTGTTCAAACAGGTACCACTGCATAAAACAATTGATTAAATAATAGATGATGTTTTACTTACTTATATAGTGTCAGCCTTGATCATAAAAAAAGTCATCTAATCCACAATGCAGGACAAAGCTGATTTAAATACATCCTTTTGGTCATCTCAGTTTTCTATAGAAGATTGCATTACTTACAGTGGAAACCTGAATAAAGTGCCATAGGGGGTCAAACCCAACTCTGATTTACATGTTTTGTGTCTCTAGCATGACCCATCTTTCCAAAGTAGAAGTAGCTACTCTTATATTTAAGTCTTAAGACTTAAATTTCTTAAGTATTAAAGTCTGAAGTATATATTAAGGTAGTATTTGTCCCAAAAGTTAATTTGCTATCAATTTATACACATAGCTTTGATTATTGTTCTAAGTGGGACATATTCATGTGAAATGAGAAGTGTAGAAACAGATTTTTGGAATAAAGTATGGAAGCTACTCATGAAATTAAAAAAAAAAAAAAAAAAAAAAGATTTTTAAAATTTCAATAATTCCCTGTAGGCACAACTTGGCATTTGTAGCTTTTCTGTGAAAAGAAGTTGTGTGTGTAGCATCATTAAGAAATAATTAAAATATTAAACGTAAGTACAATAAAACCAAGAGACTAAACTACCAACCTCTTTTCTGTGAAAATTATTCCTTTGCTTTGTTTTCTGATAAATTATCTATACTTGTTCTTTTTTATAATTTACTGTTGATTTGATGTAGATTATGAGGTTCGGTAATCTGGAATCCTGGTTTTCTGTTTAGAAGTGATTGCAGAGAATTATATCAACATTATGATGACATAATATTATATTCCTGGCATTTGTTTTTTTCTGCAAGAGTATTTAGTTTTTTTCTTAGCAGAGCCAAATTACAAATAGCCGTATTTGAATTAAAGCAAACAATATAATGAAAAAAATTGACACACAGAGAACATACATACATGAAATGTACACATTAAATAAACTTGTTCCACAAAAATACAGATTTATTAGGACTGGTCATTTTGCACTCCATTAAGGGTTCCTACAGTCCCAGTAGAAATTTTGTGTCTACTCTCCATTTGGTTCTAGCTGATAATAAAAACTGTTATGCAAGGTATTTTCCCTTTTACAGACTGAGAGTTTGCTAGTGAAGGGCCATCGTCCTGGTACAGGCACTGACTGCAACAGTGGGTAAATATGTAAAAACTTGTAATTTTGGCATAATCCTCCAGTAAGAGTGCTATTGATAAAAATGTCATCTTCTCAGACTTGTGATTTTTTTTTTTTTTTTTTTTTTATTTATTTTATTTTTTATTTGGTTTTCTGTCTTTCCCCTTGTCTTCTTTTTCTGATTTGTCATCTTCATACTTTTCTTTTTCTGGTTTTGTTACACTATCATAAGAAGGAGGAGAAGCAGTGGATGAAGACATATCCATTTTCTCTGGAGGTGAGTTTTCACTTAATTTACCAATAATAATATTATCTTTTTTGCTAAGCAGATCGACCCCATCCTTCCGATACATAAACGAAAGTTTCTTTACTGACTGTCTTAAAAGATAACGTCTATAAGCACGCTGAATGATAGTAGCGGATACTTCCTCCTGTTTTCGTTTCAGTGTAGTTGTAATTGGTTCGTAGGAGACTTTAGAAGGATTGGCTGCCATGAACCGATCTTCCATCTGTATCCTGAGGGCATCCATCTCATCGCTTTCCCCCAAAACACGCTTTGTGAAAGCAAACAAGATGTCAAGGCAGTGAATTCTGTCACCACTTACCAGGGGCAGATCCATTGCAATAAGCTGAATTGTGTTTGGTTTTGGCATATTAAGAGGAGGATCCAGAGAAGCTGCAAAATCAGACAATTTGCTATATTCTATGAATTGTGTTGCATCGGGATCATATTTTTCCCAAACCTCATAGAACATCTCAAAGTCATCCTCACTCAAGGGTTCCGCACTCTCTTCAGTAGCAACACTGAAGTTCTCCAAAATCACAGCAATGTACATGTTCACCACTACCAGAAACGATATGATAATGTAGCTGACAAAGAAGAAAATCCCAACAGAAGGGTTGCCGCAGTCGCCTTTCACAGAGCTCCCTGGATGAGTTTTGTTAGGGTTACAGTCTGGATCCCCACTGTTAAGAATTGGGTCTAACAAGCTATCCCAGCCCGCAGATGTGGTAATCTGGAACAGGCAGATCATGCTGTTGCCAAACGTTTCAAAGTTGAACATGTCATCAATCCCAGCTTCCCTCTTAACATAGGCAAAGTTGGACATGCCAAATATCGCATAGATAAACATGACCAGGAACAGCAGCAGGCCAATGTTGAACAAAGCAGGGAGAGACATCATCAAAGCAAAAAGCAGAGTGCGGATTCCCTTAGCGCCTTTAATGAGACGCAGGATTCGACCGATTCTGGCAAGTCGTACCACTCTGAACAAAGTGGGGGATACGAAGTACTTCTCAATCACCTTAGCTAGAAACATACCTGTGAAACATAAAATTAAAAGGTTAACATTTTATCACATTACATATTCCACAACAAATTATGAATATAGAACAACTCTGTGGAATTAGCAGAAATTATAGTTGGAGATAAAAATTTATCTGCTATAAGTAATTTTAGCTTTTTTTGCCAGCACTCAGAAAAAAAAAAAAAGAGCATTAAAATTGATAAAAAATTATTAAGAATGTTACTACTCTAAAGTATGCTTTTAATTTCCTAAATAATCAGAGTGAGTTAAAATTAAGTATTTCCTCTAATCTGCAAAATTTGATAGAGATAAAGCATTTAGTACTGGTCTTACTATAGTTCATTTTGAATGTAAGAATTTCTTACCTACTATTGAAAGAATAACAACAACAAAATCAAAAATATTCCAACCAATGGTGAAGTAATAATAACGGAGTGAGAACAGTTTGAAGACACATTCTCCAGTGAAAAGGACAACAAAGACCAAATTAATCCAGTATAAAATATTTTGCATCAGTTCACTCTGGTCATCTGTTTCTATCATCATGGTGACCATATTAAGACAGATGAGAACCATAATGGTGATGTCAAATCCTTGCTTTGTTACAATATCAAACACCAGACCTTGCAATTTATTCTGAGGGGAGAAAAAAGAAAAGGTCATAGTATCTTGTAAGTAATGAACATTGTTTTCCTCCCTCCCACTTCCTTCTTCCTCCCCCATAATATACAACCAAGTGAAAGGGTGAAAAATATAAGAAAAGCATTAAGTTTTCCCCTCAAAATACAATAGTTACTATTTCTTCAGATTCTTTGATTCTCTACTTCATCAGGTATGACAAATATGAGAAATTTTTCTTGAGGAACAGAAATACATAGAAGTTTTAATTCAGAATGAAGGGCTAACTTGAATGAGACCTAAACCATTTCAGAGTTAAGGAAGAAATTTTTGGTAATGTCCTGCTGCAATTTTTTTCCCAAGCGTAGATGATAAAAGAATAGCACGCATTCTTACTGCTGGTCTAGGTATAGGTTTTTGTGGTTTCTTGGATCCCAGCTTCTTCATTGCATTGTAATATTTCTTTTGTTCTTCTGTCATGAAAATGTCTTGACCTCCAAGGTAAAGTAATAAAACCAGAACTGATTACAGTCAAACCCTTAAATCCATTAATTTGCAGCATTGCAGAACATGTTTTTCTATGAACGATATAATCATTCTTACAGATTCTTATCAAAATAAAAATACAGTGATTATATCAAAGTTTGTTAAAATATCCGACAAATCTTGATGGAAAAAAACCCCAAAATTAAGTAACAGAAGAAAACCCCCAAAACTTCTATCTATTTGTTATTAAAAAAAACCCCATACCTGATTAATTCAATTCAATATGCACAAAAAACCCCGTGTGAAACATACATTCCATAGATACTTATAAATCTAACATCATGAACTCCACACTGTAAATCAATCAACCAGAAATAAAAAAATCTTCAAAGGTAGAAAGATTCACTGAGAGCTGATACGCCTTCAAGGAAACCATATCAGGAACAAGAAATTACTGATGCTTGTTTTCAGGATGCATGTTTTACCATTTGAGTACAGGTATCTCAGTTCAGATGTTCTATTGTCACAATAATATTTTGACAGTGTATATGATGCTTGATCATTTCCCTACATCATTCAGAGATCATCAGAAGCATGGGTGTATTCTGAGGTTCCCTGCCTGAATAAAAGGACAACAGTCTGAGTAAGAAGATATCTAGACTGGTGTGTTATGGATATTCCACATGTGGAAACACTTGCCAGAAATACAATTTATGTTGACAAGTAAGCTCTTTTTTTCTCTCATGCATCGGTTTGTAAGTACATTCCAGGCATGCACGATGCCAAAGCAGTGGCATTTGTAAATGAATTTCGGCCTCCCAGGTGATGCTGTCACTTTGTCAAATGCAGTGTGAGTCTTGAGAAAGTAATGATGAATCTGAATGAAGTTGTGTTTGAGTTTTTCAGCTGTGGCTACATATAAACATGAAGATTTAGAAGTCAAAAGAGATCCTGTTTAGCATGCACTCCTAATAAGCCAAATATCCAATTAAAATTCAGTTCTTCAAGAGTAAGAGGTTCGGGAGAAAACCAAGAAATTAATTTGCTGGTTATGGTGGAAAGGTGATGTGACTCTGTCAGGAGATTTTACCCAGTGGGAAATTAAAAACCTATGCTACAAATGGCATTGAACAAGGGATTTCTTCTGCTGTCTCACTGATGTAATGGCTATCAAGAGTGAACAAGTTGTCTTTGTCTCAGTGTGCTGTCCATAGGAAGAACAGCAGTCTTAAGATGAGATATATCCTATATGCCTTTGAGGACTGTAACAGTTAAGAAACAGTCAGCTATTGGAACTTTTTTTCCTTCATAGGAACTAATGTAATGACAGTAGGATGCACACAGGAACCAAAGACATGAACACAGTGTAACTGTACAGAAACAATATATTGCAACAAGGTCTTTCCCATTCATATCCCAACAATATTGCCCAAAATGGAGAGATCTCGGTGATGTGAAGGCAGAACAAAGAAAAGAAAAGTACTGCTGGGTAGCCATGCACTATGTGATCTGCACAATTTTATGAGCATGGGTGCATCTATAAATTCAAAAGACGGGCAACTAATGTTTGCTAATTTGCTATATGAAACTGAAGGATAGCATGTAGATAGAACTTTCCCCAGCCTAACTGTTGTCCTTTGTTATATTGGCAGTATTTTTTCTTTCTTGGTGACAGTTACAGCAGCTACAAATGTACAAGAGGTGTATACCACACAGCCAGAAAAAGCCCTTTAGCATGAACGTTTCTCTGCCTTCTGAGTCATAATGACTACATTAGACAGTGTCTGCCAAGTGAATTTATAATCACGTCATTACTAAGGTCATTTTGTCACATACAGACTGCTAAAAATGCCAATAGCACGTATATAACCGTAGTCTTCCTCTCCAAGTATAAGAGGCTGAACCACCTTCCTCTTAAGCACTGGAAGCCCCTGATGTTTATCTAATGGAGGTGCAAACATCTTGCAGGATGATGTCATGACATTTGGAACCACAAACTCAATCTTTCTGTTATGTGGGTCTGCAGATAAGAGACTCAAAGGATCTGAAGAAGCAACATATGAAGTTGCATAGTCCCATCACAAGTGGAAAGATTTAATGGAAGTTTCCACTGCAGTAAGTGTAGCCATATCTTTTTCTCAGTACAATGAATCAAACTTGACAAACTATATAGAATCACAGAAGAAAAATCACATGAAGAAATTATGTACTGCCTTGGTATTACTGAGCTTTTTTTGTTTGTTTGTTTGTTTTTAAATCAACTTTCCACTATGATTCTTCTCCAAGTGTGTACAGAAAACCAAGACTATTGTAGACCTCATATAGCATTTATAGTTTAAATGGCAAGTAGAATTCAATTTGCCATCATAGTCTGCATTTTAATCTATTTAAATGCTCCTGGAGCTCTTAATAGAATCCTGTGTTCATCCGAATAATAGAAACAATTTCAGTTGAAAAGAAAGACTACACATTTTTAAATGTCAACAACTGTTTTTCTCTTGTAAATTCACTACTAACTCGAGACAGTTTCCCCACCATCTCAAATCTTACAATACAGAGCAGTGGTTTCAGAATTCAGCTGTACTGTGTTAGTCTCTTCATAACTGAGAAGGCCTTCACAGTACTGCTATACATTACATTTATCAACTTTGATATTTGTAGTTTTGCATATTCTCTTCTTTCCTGTCATCTATTTGCCTGAATTAAGTCATCTGCATTTTCACATAACTTTGTCACAGCTCTGTAAGGGTAAGTGGAAAACAATACATAACTTTCTCATGTACAACATTATCTTTGGGCATTACAGGGATATGAAGAATACTCAGATACTCAATGTAAATTTAAATTACTTCAAATGCCTTAAAAA